ACTGCTTTTTCTCTCAGTGCCTCTGAAGCTGTAGCTGTTACAATGTTGTTTTAGTTTTAGTTTTTGAAATTGTTTTGCTATGTTTATGATATTATTAATAATAGATAGCATTTGTATAGCGCATATCCCCGTTCAACAGCAGGCTCTATGCGCTTGACACTATATTATTATATAATGTCAAATCCGTCTGTCAATGTGTGGCGATGACCGATGACTTTTCAGTCGATGTTTCTAAAAGAGAAATATACAAAAGTAGGTTTAAGATAACTTGTCGCTTCTGCTATGGCCAATGAGACCAATTTTTACCTTATGAGCATTTAAAAGCTTAATTTCCACTTTTGGGTGCGTGCAGCGTGCGGGCTTCTCTTGGTTTCAGCGTACTGATATTACTACTGTTTTAATTTATGTTGACATTTTCAGTAAGTATTGCTGCTAAGTTGACACTGCCGGTGTTACCTTAATAACCTGCAGATCCAGCTCCGAGCCCGGAACGGCTACATAGGACTCGGTCACAGAGGAGGCGTGTCTGAGTGACGTGGAGGTGGTCAGCAGAGCTCTCACAGAGGGGGGCGGGGACACAAGGTCAAGGTACTCCTCTGGCTCCACGTCCACCGTTAAGGTGAGCGATTCTGCGGACGTGAGCAATACAATGTTGGTGTTATTTTCTGGGGGATGTTTTTTTTTTATAATTGATTTGTTTTGTTTTGTTTTTTGTTTGTTTGTTTGTTTTTTGGGAGAAGGGGTTAAAGTGTTATTTATCATAAGTGTTATACATTTTAAGCGTTGTATATGCTAAGTGTTGTTTACTTTGAGTGGTTTTATTCTCAGTCGTATTTATTATAATATGGACTTAGAGCTATGGGGGAGGTCGAGAGTGGAGGGCATGAGTATATTATCTATTTTAACATCAGGGTAGTATTTGTTCCAGAGTCATATGGATATAGACTGTGCTGGTAAAGAATCTTAAGTCCTTTCTTCACATACGTTGGTGCATCGTTGCCGTGGAAATGCCAAAGTCGTGAATGGCAATTTCATTTGTTTGCATTACAAAGAGAGCTTTCGATAAATCATATCAACGACAACAGAGAATCGTCCTGTTATCTTCTAAGTGAATGTTTGGAATAATACTGAAATGGAACAAGACTGCCTTTTAGCATCATTATTGTTTGCGTTTTCGGTGAATTTGTTCCTCTAAATGTTGGTTTTGAAACGAGTCATTTTCCCCAATAACAATATTCCACTCTTATATTATAATCAGATTTGTGAAACAAATGACCAAAAAAAAAATTTTTTAAATAATCTTTCCTTGATTCAATGGGTGGTAGCTTTTGTTGCGCTGAAATGTGAGCACAATCTCATTCCCACGCTATTTATCATCTTTATTTCATAAATATGCATTGTAAATATACCGGGGTTTTTTCCACTGTTACTCCTTAAAATCTCATCTAAGACTAAGGTGCTAAAGAAGGGTCACTGTGGGTTATTATAATTTGGGCAATATATTATGACCATAAAAAGGAATTTTCAGGCTCTTATTTCTTAAACAAAAAAGGTACAGGGCATACAACTTAAATTCCTGAACTCCAAGGCAAACACACACACACACACACACACACACACACACACACACACACACACACACACACATATATACATATATATATATATATATATATATATATATATATATATATACACACACACACACATACATACATATACTTACACACACACATATTTTGAACATGAATACGTGTCTACACATAATATTTAAAAGACACTAATTTAGAGCTCACCAAACCAAGATCCCCCGAGAGATAAATGTATTGTTGCACAATTCCCAAGAAGACGACTCTGGCTGTACGTCAGTTCTCTGCAGATGTTTTAAAACAATTTTGAATAAAACAAGCATTTACTTAATAGTAAGACATTCAAAGTAATTTGACATTTTTTTAACGATTTTTAATCAAAGTCGTACTTAAGCCCACATCGTTACTTGTTGTAAACCAAGGGATAGTGTTAAAATCCGTGTTGATGATTAAATAATTGATTACTAGAAAACTGTGGAAGCATACTATTTATAAAAACGTGCAGAAATTGCAGTCATTGAAAATGGTGGCAGCGCATCGAGAAAGTGTGCACTGGGTCGTTAATAGTGCGAAATTTGTCAACCTGAATTTCCCATAACACAATTTTTTTGTAAATGTTTTACGTCGAGACAATTTAGATTATTTAAGAGGCGGGCTTCGACCCTGCCTGTCACGGCTTTCCTGAGCTTAGAGGGATGCAACATTGCAGCAGAAAGCCCTGAAATACTTAATAAAAATCAGCTCAATCGGGAATTGAACTCAGACCGGCTACGCCAGCAAAGCGCCTAACCGCTACACCACAGACACATGTGCATGAATGTTTTCTTTGAGCGAACCGGTAGGTATGTTGACGGTAACCCCTACCTGTCTTCGTGGTGCCCGAGACGATACAATAGTCTAGTGTCAATGCCCTTTCAAAAACACCCTACGTGGGTCTGAAAGACTAGCAGCACAAGAGCATAATGATTGTCGTAATCATAGCCAGAAAAAAGATTCACGGTCGGCGCAAGGGTGAAAGCAAGGGTGAATTAAGAATAGTGTTCATAGCGTAATATTGGAAACGTTTATGCTGCAAGGCGGTCCACACACTCACGAGACAATGAACGCAAGCCGAGCAATGAGCCTTGCTTCGAACTCGCTTTGAAATTTGTTTTTTCTAACACACACACACACACACACACACACACACACACACACACACACACACACACACAGCAGCAGCAGCAGCAACACCAGCTCCAGCAGCCATGCATGAGGATTTCCCCATGGGTTCTGGTTAGTTTACACTTTACACAATTGGAACAGAACGGTTTTTTTTTTTTACATGCAGTATTTTATTAAACATCAAACTGGCGTAGTTTTTAATAAGGACTTTGAAGTCAAATATGCTTAGCCACTCAACCCCTGGTTGATTTTAAAATATTTAGCGCAGTTGTCTATATTTCTGTATTCGCTCGACGCCTCACGCCAACCTCATAAAATTTTCGTCATATACATAGCGATTTTTGACAGTTTTGGAGTTTCGGGACAAGACCCAGGGGCAGAATTGCGTGTATAGGGCCTCTAAAATGGGCTACTGAGAAGGGAAGTGAGGGGGAGGAGGGAGTGTAAGCTTTCATGGTTTTTTTTCAAAATGTGCAGCCTTCACGCAATAATTCGAATAAACTTAAACATCCACTTCAACAACCAAAGGACCAACTCTGAAAACTGCAACCTACCCAGCCTGGCACGACCGTCCGTTCTTTGTGCACTCAATGATCCCAGTTTCCATGCTGTGTCCTAATTCATTTAATTCACTTCGCGTCAGCCGAAATGCGGGCGGGAAAAGTTCCGCTGTTTCCAGGAGGCCTCTGCTGGCTACATATGCCCAGTCTGTGTCCGACTGCATACCACTGTATACCTCAAACTCTCTCTGCAAGTCATCAAAGATCAGACTAGCCTCATTATAGTTCAGGCTGTCGGAGAAATTTTTCAGTTTCGTATTGTCAAGCAGAACCGCTAGGCTCTTTCCTGGAGTACTTAGGCGAGTTTTAGAATTGTTAACTACTTTATCTATATCTAAAAGTAGTAGGTCATAGAATCTTGTTCTGTTGTCCAACGTAGATTTTTTCAGCATGTTGGTATTGCACACCGTCAGGCTGAGAGGACTGGCATTCTCGTATGTGTCCGACACATTCACCTTGAATATCTTATCAGAATCCTGATATTCCCTAACTAAGAAGAAAACCATCACACCAAACCCAACACACGCCGCTAAAGAGATCAAAACCCAAAAAATGAAATAAAAATAGGAGCGGGTCCTCAGAAGCATTGAGGTGCCGTGCAGATCTAAACCACTGAGCCATTTCACACCGCCTTTACAAGGCTGAGTTTTCCTTGAAAATGTCACACGGTATGGGTGAGGTTCTTTGGGTAATGAAAACAAGTCCTTTTTCCTCACACGGTCTTTTTTCCTCTTCTTCGTTTCCTGGTAGTGAGGTGCAGCTTCGTGCATAGAGGAGAAATACCTGGCACATCGCTCTTGCCAACGTGTGTCCACCCCGGGCATTTTTCTTATTTTGCTCTCGAAGTTGTGATGAAGTTTCCTTAGAATATTCTTGACTTTATGTCTCACAAAAGTAGTAGATACTCAGGAGAGAATAAGAATTGAAGATTGATTATGACATCCGATGAATTCAATTTCAGGATTTTAAAACAGTCTGGCTGAAATTTCAGAAGCCAGAAATGTAGGGGCCTCAAGCACTTTGCGTATTTGGTTGATTTTATGGCCAACAATACTATACACACGTCTTTAATAAAAATACAAATAAAAGGTTGTTTGCCCCGTCACATAGCACCGAAACCAACAACATCTTCTCCAACATTGACAGAAAAAGCCGAGACTTAATTGAGTCTTTGGTCAATTCCTCAAGAGCACGGCACAACAAGAATGTAAGACACTGCCCAAGCTTGCCACAGAGGAATTGCGTGACCGGCTGCCTTCACCACTCCAACACTGACTGTGCCCACCCGATTAATGCCTCTGACAGATCTGATTTATAAAGGGCGGCCAATGCTAAGCCTCAAAAAATTGCAACAATGCAGCTCTGGAATCGTTGTTGCAGGGCAGATTTAATCACTGCCGTCTACTGGTGGAACGTAGTTGTAGCTGTTACTACTTGTAACAGTTGCTATAAGTTAGCGATCCGAGTCATGAGTCTTTTCGACGGAGTTATTCAAATAAAGGTTCTTGGACTCGTGCAGTAGCCTTTTCAACGCAGAAATCAATATACATTGTAACATTCTTTTCACGTCTCACACGTAGTAAAATACCCCGTGACCAGCACTACCACCATAAAGCTTAAAGTGTCTTCATATTAAATGATTTCCGAGGAAGGCTATTCATAGGTTCAATTCATTCTGTTCACTGTTTGGTTATAAAAGTAACAGCTTAAGGTAATGGTTTTGTATGGTTTTTGTATCTCAACATTCTTTAGTGTAGTTAGCAAGTCCATTTTGTTATCATGGTGCGAAGTGGCGAATGCCCAAAGGCCAGGAGTATAGCAACACGATACGTGTTACAGCATGATTCAGCAATAAGTTGCCTGCAAAAAGCTTTCAGCACTTACAAAGGGGAACGCTTGTCTGCTTTTCTACAGCATGCTTGGGTAAATATGATATTAATGATATGCCAAATCCTGAAAACTTCGGCTTTGATAATGAAAAGTAACACATGAAAAAAGAAAGAACGAAAGAAAGAAAGAAAGACAGACAGAAAGACAGAAAAACAGACAGAAAGAAAGAAAGTAGGTAGAGATGAAAGGTGGAGCGAAGGCGAAAGAAAAGCGCGGGGG